TTTGTTTTTTTGGTTTTTCTCCGGTACCGGGAACCGAACTCACGACCTTGCGCTTGCCAGGCAGGCGCTTTGCCGCTGAGCTAAATCCCCAGCCCCTCACTGCAGAGTTTTGTGGTAAGGGCACCTGGTGTACAAAAAATATACACAATATACACAACATATGTGAATATATTCAGATACAAAGATAAAAATATACTTGAGTTATAGATGTATATGTTATTATATAATAAACTATGCTGCTCATAAAATCTGGGAAAATAGGAGAAAAAAACAAAGATCACAGACACATTCCTCACTGTGCAATAATCTCTCAACACTGACAAGAGGAGTCATATAATCAGAACTTAAAGTGCAATTGAGACTAAGAAACGTGTTTATATACTATGCCAAGTGTTTATGTACATTATTTTACTACTCCTTCTATAATCCTGTAATATTTCCACTTAAAATGAATAAACTAGGCTTGGAAAAATTAGGTTTCCAATGTCACACAGCAGTGACTTACAAAGCCAAATTTTTAATCAAAATTTGTTTAACCTAAGGCTAGATTAAATATGGAAATGTTAAAGTTCAAAATTTTCTAACAATATTCTCTAGAATTACAATTTTTAAACATCAAATTGAGAACTTAAATTATTATGACTAAGTAAGGGTCATACAAAAGCTAAACACTAAAAATAAAATCTCTTCAACTTTGAAGTCATTTCCATTGTCCTATAAAGTCCCTGCATTTAACTATCTTAAAAAGTCTCCCTCTACTATTATGCATGAAGTATACAGCAAACAACTGCCATTCTAGTTATTTCCACAGAACACAAATAACTAGACTGCATGTCTGTAAGATACTGTGCAAAAAAAGAGTTAAAAGTATGCCTAAGCCATACTGCCAAAGTTGCTGTACAGATTCAATGCAATCCCAAATAAAATACAATTAGTATATCTACAGAAAATATTCCTAAAATTTACTTGGAACCAGAAGAGGCCTAAAATAGCAAAAGCAACTCTGGGAAACAAAGGAAAGGCAGGAAACATCACAATCCCCCACTTGAAATTATACTACAAAGCTACCGTGATAAAATCAGCATGGTACTGGCAAAAAAAAAATAAAGCTGAAGATGGAACTGATTAGAAGATACAGACACAACTACAAACACATTCAGCCACCTTATCTTTGACAAAGGGGCCGAACATGTTCACTGGAAGATTGCCTCTTTAATATGTAGTGCTGGAAAAACTGGCTTTCCACAAGCCAAAGACTAAAACTAGATGCAAGCCTATCACCACGCACCAAAATAAAGTCAAAATGGCTTAAAGATCTAAATATTAAAACAGAAACACTAGATCTACTGGAAGAGAAAGGAGGTGGAAGTCTTGAAGACATAGGGGTAGACAGAGAGTTCATGAACAAAAACCAAACTGCATGTGAAATACTTCAAAGAATCAACAACTGAAATCTCATCTTATTGAAAAGTTTTTTGCACATCAAAAGAAATCACCACCAGAGTGAAAAGAAAACCCACAAATTGGGAAAAAATTTTAGCCAACTGTTCCACAAAGCACTCCTGTCTAGAACATGTAAAGAATTTTAAAAAATCAGGCCCCCAAAATTCAAAGACCCAATCCAAAATTGGGCATCTGATATTAATACACACTTCTCAGATGAAGAAATACAAATGACAAATAAATGTATGAAAAAAAGTTCAACATCATTGGTCATTCAAGAAATGCAAATTAAAACAACACTGAGATTCCATCTCACCCCAGAAAGAATGTCTATCATCAAGAAATCAACTAATAACCAACGCTGGCAGGACTGTGGGGAAAAAGGAACCCTTCTCCACTGCTAGTGGGAGTGCAGATTGGTGAAACCACTGTGGAAATCAGTGTGGAGATTCCTCACAAACCTAGGATTAGAAGTTCCACTTAACCCAGCTATTCCCCTTCTGGGTATTTCCCAGAAGAATTAAAAACATCATACCACAGTGATGTATGTGCACCCATGTTTACATCAACAGAATTTGTCATAGTTAAATCTTGGAAACAGTCCAAATGCCCATCAACTGAGGAATGGATAAAAAAGATGTAGCATTTTTATACAATGGAGTATTACTCAGCTATAAAAAGGATAAACTCTAGGCCTTTATACGTAAATGGATGCAACTACAGATCATACCCATAAGTGAAATAAATCAGACCCACATGTATAAACCTCGTACTGTCTCCCTAGTGTAAGAACCTGAAAGGGTAAATAAAACCCAAAATGTACAATAGATATTATGAAAGGGAAAGAAATTGTGCAAAGGAAGGAACAACTGAGATGAGGAAAAGGAGAAAAAGAAAGAAAGGAGGGAAGACAGATAGACAGACAGATAGCTCACTCGCTTGCTTTTGTCCTAGCTAGCTGGGATAATTGTACTGCTGATGTCTGTCTAATGATTTATTGAAAGGAACAGTTAATAAATTTTTTTGACCAATTTTGCATGCTAATACCTAGTAACCTGAACAACTAATTTGAAGACAACAATATGCAATATAATAACCACTGGTAAATTCCTACCATATTGTCTAGTGAAGCTCTGAATTGTTTCTAATGTTTTTATTATTTTTATTATCTTTAATGGTTTAATCACTCTTGCATTCTTATATCTGGTAATCTGAGCAACTTCGTTGAAGGTAACAGTATGTAATATAAAAACCACTGTTATTCCTATCATTCTATCTTGAAACCCGTACCATTTTTATTGTTTTTGCTTTGTTTTGTTCTTGCCTATGCTGTTGTTTTTTTGTTATTTTTTTTATTCTCTTTAAACTTAAAAAAAAAAAATAGGCGTAAGACTGCTATCCTTAGAAGGACTTGCTCATAATGCTGGTCCTTAGCTGGCTTCTGCAATTCTTGATTTCTGGAAGGAGGGTTCCCACTATTCCGATAAAGAATGGCTCACTGGTATAAACTGTGAAAATATGGTTTTGGCTGAACATCTACTTTCTTCCTGCGAGTCTAGAGCTTTGGTATATGTATGTATATACTAGAAGCTGCCTACTCCACATAAAAACCCCAGGCACTGAGTCTCTCACAAGCTTCCTTTATTAACATGTGTTATCAAAACTCACTGCTAGAATTAAGCTCACCCTTTGTGCCTCCAAGAACTCTGGAAGCCTATGCTATTTTCCACCAGATTTCACCTCATACACCTTTGCTGACCTTACTCTGTAACTTTCTGCATTAACAAGTTACTACGGTTTATATCTGAATAACCCCCTAAATTAGCCTCGTGCAATCATAGGTACGAGTTTGGAAGGTGACTGGATCATGGGGCTGACAGCTGGCTCAATGCTTGGTGGGAGTGTGGCATAGCAGGGTTAACTCCCTATTCAGCTCCACCCTTGACTTTCTCTTGCTTCCCCAGCTCCCACTATTAAGTAGCTTCTCTTCTACCATGCCCCTCCCTGTACTATGCTGTCCTGCCTTGGAGCTGTATGATTGCAGGCAGAACCCTCTACAAGGGGTGAGTGTAAATAAAGCTTTCCTCCCTTATTTGCTGGTATCAGATATTTTGTCCCAGTGATGAAGAGTCACTAAGGCACAAGGCACAGTCATGAATAAAAATACATGCTAAGTCCATTAATGCGTCTAGTGAAATCATCAAATATCGGGTATCTTCAAAACTCCTAACACAAAGATAAAGAAAACTCAGTTTAATTATTCTTTTTTGTACATTTAAAGAAACTGTAAGGTAAGCTGTGAGGTATAACACAAATTTTTACCTCTTCTTTTTTTATATCTTTTTCTTGGTGTTGAAAAAATTCTACCTTCAGGCTTCCTGATGATGGCTGCTCTGGAGGAGGTAGATAACTCTTTGTATTCACAGCATCAAAAAGTTTTTCCACAAATATCTGTGTCTCTAAAAATTAAAAAAGAATGATAGATTAAAAAACATTTTAGAAGATACTAATTCCCTACTTCTACACATCAGACCTCTAATATAATGAAATCTTAATTTTTATAACTACAGAAGTTAGACTAACAGCTTCGAAACTAGTAAAAAATAGCATAAGTTTCATGATAATGATCATTCCTTCCAATTTTCAAGGTGGTGGAGACTGGAATGGCCAGATCCTCTGAGTTAGTAACTTCTAGCTATGACCAGTCTTTTCCACGTAACACACCCAGTATTTTCCATGTAACACACCCAGCAAATATTACCTAGATGGCAAAGTTCAAAAAAGTTGAAAAGAATATGCTAGACAAAACTCAAGTAGCTTCCCAAGCAGTACTATCTTTAAATAAACACTGTCTTTTCTTAACTTTTTAACCATATAAGAAAAAATAGCACGGTATATTGGCACATGCCTGTTATTCCAGTGCTCAGGAAGCTGAAGCAGGAGGATTGCTGTGAGTTCAAGGCCACCCTGGGCTACACAGTGGGTTCAAGGGCTGCCTAAACTACATAGCAAAACCCTGTCTCAAAAAAATAAGAAAGAAAAAGAAAAAAAAAAATCAGCATCTTTTAAGAATAAGCATATGGATATTAAAGGAGAGAAAGCTTCCATCTTAAAAAAGCTCGAGATAATACTGATTTTTCAGCTTTGTTACAATTATATCCTATCTCTTACTGAGTTCCTTTAATACTCTGTAGATAATCTGTTTTAAATAACTTGTTAAAGTAATATAGTATTTTAAAATCAAAGATCTTACCTTTCTGAAGAAATACATCCAGCTGATCGATACATAATGCCTTTAACTCTTTTTCACTTTTGTCTTTCTTTACCAAAGCCAGAACATATTTTGCTAGGGCTGATGGATCTGCATCACAACTAACAGAAAAAAAAGCAATGTTAAAGGACATTTAACCATAAATTCTTGCATATTCTACAAATCCCAAACTTACTTAGAAGGAATGAAAAATAGTTATGTGATTTAATGTATGTAAAAAGCACCTGGCTGATGGTAGGTAATGAAGAAATGTGTTTTTTTCTTTAATATGTCTTGCAACCATCCATCCACTCATCCCTCCTCCTCCTCCCCTCCTTCACAGTGTTAGGAACTGAACACAGGGTCTTCACACTAAGCTAGATCCCTAATCCTTTTTATTTTTATGTACTTTTTATTTTTTAGGCAGCGTCTCACTAAGTCACAAAGTTGTCCAGCTCAAACTTTCAACCTTCCTGCCTCACTCTCTGAGAGCTCTGGGATTACAGTCACGAACCACCCCACCCAGCTTCACTTCTTCAAAACATATACAGTATATTAATTAACTAGCAGAAATCTTAGAAATAGACCTAAACATTAAAAATTTGTATAAAGATGGCATCCAAATCAATAAAGAAGAAATGAACTATGCAATAAATGGTATGGAAAAATTCGGCAGTTATCTTTTAAGAAAACTAACTTGGATTCATAACTTAATCCTTATTAGAATAAGTACAAAACTGTAAAAGTATATGAAACCATTAATTTTTAGAGAAAAAGTGAATTATTTTGAACCTCTGGAGTAACAAAGACCTTTTGAGTTATGATGCAAGTCAAACTATTAAAAGAAATTTTCAGGGGCTGGGGATTTAGCTCAGTGGCACAGCGCCTGCCTGGCAAGCGCAAGGTCGTGAGTTCAATTCCTGGTACCGGAGAAAAACCAAAAAAAAAAACCAAAGAAAAAAAAGAAATTTTCAGAATAAAGTCAAAGGAAAAAAGCTCAAATAGTTAACCTACTACAAATAGGCAAACTCCTCTAATACGCAGAGTTCCTATCAAGCAAAACCAACTTTCTTTTCTTTCACTTTTCTTTATTTATCAAGACAGGGTCTCGCTATGTATGTAGCCTAGGCTGGCCTTGTGTGCCCTAGGCTGGCCTCAAACTGGGAGAATAACAAAATTAAAAAGTCTCACAAAAAAATATAAGAGTAATATGTGTCATAGAATCAAAAGGTGTATCTTACAGATACTGGGTAACTTTCGTTGCACATTAGAATCACGTACATAAAAACCTGATCCCAGGTGAATAGACAGCCTGAGTCAACTCTTTATTTTGCTTTGCTGTTTGTTTACAAAGGCTGCATAGGCCAAGTTTGACAGAATCAAGAGTTGAGCACTAGTGCCAGTAAGTAGAAAACAAATACAATATTCATCATATATGTATAAGACACTCTTAGTTTATGTTAATGAAGTGATTTTAAAAGTACAGAGTCAAGAATCTGGCTCAGTGGCACAGCACCTGCCTGCCAAATGTGAGGTCCGGAGTTTGATTTCTAGTACCAAAAAAAAAAAACCCTTTACAGTACATCATCAAATTCTTCACTTCTCCACTCAAAAAGTACAGCCTAAATTCCTGAGACTTGATAATGGATTAACTTAGTGACTTGCTTCTAACACAGACTATGGCTATGGATGAAGTGACGGTATGGTCTTACTTCTGGGACTAGGTCCTAAAAGGTATTGTGCTTTCCTTTATGTTCTCTCTTCAACCCTTGCTCTGGGGAAATCAACTGCTGTGCTCCAAGAACACTCACACAGCCTTAATGGAGAACATTAGGCTATGCATAATGAAATGAAGTCTCTGGCTAACAACTCCACGTGAATGAGCTGGAAGGCAGACTCTACTGTCCCACAGAACCTTGCAAACACCGCAGGCCTGAAAAACAGCTCGAATCCAATCTTCTTGGGAGGAAATAAATAAGAAAAACCCAGTTAACCTGGTCCCTCAATTCCTGACCCATAGAAAACTATGAGATGATAAATGTCTTATTATGTTACTTAATTTCCGGGTAATTTGTTACTCAGTAATTACAAATTACTTTTCTCAGAAATCTATTTTCACTCATTCATTCATTCATTCATTTATTGTCTTTTTGTGACAGGGTCTCACTATGCAGTTCAGGCTGGCCTTGAGCTCACTTTGTAGGCCAGGATGGTCTCGAACTCACAAAAGTCCTCCTGCCTTAGCCTACCAAGTGCAGGGATTACAGTAGTGCGCCTTCACACCCGGCTATTTCCATTTATTTACAAAGACTTGAAGTAGTTATATCTAAAAGGTGAGTGGGCCCTCGTTTGAATTGTATAAGAGATCAGCGCAAGACAAAACAAATTTTCTGTAAAATATTCATTTTATTATGCTAATATTTTCTTTTAAATAGAATGATTTATAAGTTAGATTTTTTTGTGTCCTAAGGAATGTGAAAATGATAACTATGATCACAAAAGCATGAAAACACTTCTATCTAGCAATCTAGTAATACTATCTAACAATACTGTAACATGAATAAGTACATGCAACTAAAAATCCATCTACTTAGAACTCTTCAGTTTACTGGAAATTATTTTGATACATAATAAATACTATTAGATGCTAGACTGCTCAGTCTCTACACTGGGTCCAAATGCTACATTGGTTTTACACTGGTTTGTTGTGATGAATTTTCAATTTCATAATGGCCTTTTTAATGACCTGTCATTTTCCACTTGTCTTAATCAAACACCAAATCAATTCCATTCTCACATTATTTTTAAACAGGATGCTTTAAAAGTGAATGAAAATGTTAGTAGCTAAAACTGTGAAGGAAGACATTATTTTTGTCACTGTCCATAAACCATAGTTTGATAAAACAGCAAGACAGAACTAGTGAACAATCTTTGCTCAACACCTGCAGGAAGCAATCTGAATTGGATCAAAAACCAGTAACAGCCACAAGAAGAAATAAACTATCAGCTTTGTGTGGTGGTGGACTCCGGCAGACTAAGCCAGGAAGACAGCAAGTACGAGTCTAGCCTGGACAGTTTAGTGATTTAATGAGACCCTATCTCAAAATTTAAAATAAAGGAAAGGTCTCAGAATGAAGCTCCATGCAAAGGCCCTGGGCTCAATCTCCAGTACCCAGGAAAAAATAAAAAGCTACCACATACTAAAATTTTAAATGCTTGAGATAATCTAAAGGACAGACCACTTTTAAAAATTTGTTAAGAACTCAAATCATCTAGTAGAATCAATGTTCATAATTTTACACTTACTATCACAAAAAGTAATCTGCACTTAACAGGCAACTTTTCTTCAGTCCTGTAAGTCATTCTACTTCAACTGGCATATTATCAGGGGAAGACAAAATACACCCTCTTTTTCGTTTGTTTTAATTAAAAGTACTGATGCTAATTAGCTGAACATCTAGAAATAACCTGCTATGCAAAATTAAAGAAATAAAAACTTTTAAATTACCTATCAAAATAAGACTATATTCAGACAGTAAAGAGTTAACTTTTAGAAAGCTATCTCCATGGCCACCAATGTTATTCGTAAGGTACTTTACTATACTACTTGCTACTACTCCAGACATGTTTATGACTTGAATGACACATAAATAATGAATGATCATTATTTAATAATATTTAATATGCACTTGCTATGTCAGATACTGTTTTAGGTTTGAGGATACAACTTAGAAAAAACAAAGTGCCTATGCCCACAGAATTTACACTAGAGGTGGAGGGAGACAGACTATACACACACACACATATATATAGGCTAAACTGTCATGCAGATGAGGGTTTTGAAGAAAAATAACTCAAGGCAAAAGTGAAAGTATAGAGGAGGAGAAAGGACTAGAGGGAAGAAAGGGAAAGAGGAAGAGAGGGAGAAAAGTAAATACAGGAGCTTTGGTAAGTTTATCTGGGAAGGACTTTGATGAGGAGACACTGTTAAGCAGACATCTGAACTTAGAGATTTGAATGGAATGCAAGCATGCTTCATGGCTACCCTGGGAAAAGGACGACCTAAACCAAGGAACTACAACAGCAAGAACCTAAGCTAAGAACCTCATTGACACATACACTGAAAAATATGACACATATGATTACACTGAAATGAAGTTAATACCCATAAACATTTGAATTTCCAATCTCTCCCCTCTTCAGGGATTTCAAATGAACTACTTCTGTGACCTTTGGCAAATTAAATATCTAGATCACTATAAAGTAAATCAGACAATGATTAAAAGGTATAAAAGTAAAACTTTATCTCTGAATATACTGTGCTAAGGATGCAACTAGTAAGATTACATTTTATTTTTAGAAATAGTATGGTTGAAGAGGTCCAGCTTCATGCATAACTTTTAAAAACATAAAGGTGACTATACTCTCTTCCAGCTACACATCAAGAGGGAAATGAATTACAGAAATCAAAGTAAAGCAAGAAGTCAAATGTTAACAATAAAATATCCCCAAAGAACTGAATTTTCTTAATAAATAACAAATCAAATCACCCAAGAAATAAAGGTTACAATTAACCTTAACACACTTGTCATATTAATGTATGTTTATAATTTAGGATTCTCAAAATAGTAATGACACAAAAAAAATAAAGCTACAACACTCCAGTACAGTATTTCAAAAAGAAGTTTGTTTTGCCTATGCTTTTTGAAGGCTTTAGAAATTCAGTGGAAGATAACTGATAGAATTTAACCCAAGCCTACATCTTCAGTAATCTCGAAAAGGCGGAGCTGGAGGTGGTAGTGGGAATTAAAACTTAAATTTAAATATGTTAACTCAGTAACTTTAGAATACGGATATACACCCACGTTTGTTCCTAACCAAATTTCATTTTATATTCATGAAAAATATCTAATTTGCATTGAAGTCATGATTCTATATTCTGTATTTAAGATTACTCTTTTTAAAACATACATTTCATTGCAGAAAATACAATACACTGAAAATTTTAATTGCTAGTTTAGTGTGATGCTTTACTCTAAAATAAGGCAAAAGCGGATCATTTGTATATAGTAATTACAAAGCCATTATTAATTATTACATACCCAGTTTATTCTGCAAAAAT